AAAAAAAAAAAACAGAAACAGAAATGTATGCACCAAACCATGTTATAAACTAAAAAAACCCTAAACTAATCAGTGAAATTAATAGATATAAAACACAACTTGTTCACCTACTGTGATTCTACTCAACTTGATGAAATCACAAAGTATTTTCAGTTCTGTTATTTGGCTTGCGGAAGGGAAGATCCTGTTAACAAAACAGATGTTAAAGGGTTTCTTATCATAGGAATAGCATATTGCGATACTGAATGGTAATGTATCTCATGACAGCCATAGCATGCTGGGGGCTTCTATAGCAGAAACATAAAGAGATTCACATTTAAAGGTTTAACTATTACAGGATTTATGACTTTTTAGATTATGTTAAACTATGATTATTTAACATCTTAAAAACCACAAAGGTCAGGGATAGTGTTTTGGTAATATGCTTTTTTTTAAACTGATATATGCAGATGGAGACATTGACAACATGAAACCTGAAAGGCTACAATATATGAAACTTAATTTGAAATGTCAGAAACTTTTAACTCTAATAATTTAATACAAGAGGCAGACTTGTGTGTAGTTCAGTCAGGTGGTAGTGAGAGCTCACCTCTGTTATATTTTCCTTAAAAAGATACAACAATCTAAAGAAATACACAAATAAAACATTCTTACCTTTGCTGCACTCTACACAAAAATGATTGTTAACCTATTAACTTTGCTTCAATTAACAAACAACACTCCATGTCTATCAGACACCGATCAGATTTCCAGTCAAAGTGAGTGAGCAAATTGCTTATGAACACTAAGTTACACTGAACAGAGGGTGTGTGTTAAGGGTAGTGCGTATGTGTTTGGTTGGGAGGGGATGTGTTACGGGACACATTCCCTCACAGATAGTGCTGTTCTGGCTTTGGTTTTGAAAGACCATTTGCATTGATGGCATCTCTCCATATGTGTCGAGCCTTTTGACTTTCCATGAATATTTGTCTAACAAATCGAGCATTCTCCTTCAGGAGGTCAGAGCGCAACTGCCTGCCTCATAAAAAAGTTCAGTGTGTGTGTGTTGTGTGACAGGGATGATTCTAGTGTATATAATATAAAATAAGGATGGTTCTTAAATTGAACAAACTAATATATGCTGTAGTGAGAAATGTTTTTTCAGCTATCTAGAGTTAAGCCTTTGATCTCTTGCCTTTGGCAAGAGATGAAAGAGATTTTTGCAATGCACTTTATGTTGGTGTTGATTCAAGCCACCACTTTCATGCTGCTCCCCATTTGCTGCAGGGACACAGAAACATTACAGTGGTTTCCTGTATGGAGTACCATAATGTGAAAACAATATGTTAGAATATTACACATTAGCGCAGTCCTTTGGGTTGTAAGAGACATAGTTCAGTTTTGCAGGATGGTTAATTTTTGTCACCAATATCCATCGATATACTCATCCATCCATCCTTCACTTATCCAGTTTTACATTGGAAAAAGATGTAAAGATATCACTCACAGACTGTGGTGTTATGGCAGCAGCAAAGTTTACTTACACTAAAAGGAAACTAGACTCACCAAACCCAAAAGGCTAACCCTTGAATGCAAAAACCCCCCAGTATCATAGAAACATTTCAAAAATTGTACTATTGTATAATCCAGCTAGGGTTTACAAAGTTGTCTATGTATTTAAAATATATAAATTTTCACGTTTATGGTTTTCTTTATTAAAAAATCATTTAAATACATCTATTAACCTTTTGCAGGGCAACAAACCATTTTACGTCATACCTGAAGAAGTGGGTGAAATTCATGGAAAGTTTCTTGTCAAGTGTGCACACAAGGTGCGTGCATACAGAGTCACACATCTGCTTTTTGCATTTTGTTAAGACTTCCTCACTTATTTAAATATTTCAAATTAAGTGCGAGCATCCATCATGCCAAGGGCGAGCCAGAGGATGATACACAAATTAAAGGTGATGATGTATCCAAAACAGGAAATACCTCTGATCTTATATCAAAAGCGTAAAGACCAGTCATAATCTGTCTTTTTCACTTTTTATATTTTCCTGCTGTTCTACAGGATTGCAAACTAATGCATATTGTGTATTTGCATATCAGCAAACATGATGTAATGAGCTTTGAGTCCCTTTTAGCACATTTGGGACAATTCCCAAAGAGATCCTAGCCTAAATCTTGCCAGAAAGAAGTGACAGGAGTGTTTACATCATTTGCAGGAGATGAACCATAAATGACAATCATGTGGTTGTGAAAATGCCATCCCCGAAGAAGGGAAACAGAGAGAAAAGACTAAGGCATGAAACATTTTAAAAGAACTGCAGTATGGCCTTATGGACTGATTAAACCAAATTTGAAAATTTTGGAGTCTTTCTCACTAAGTACAGTGGTGGTCAGGAGAACAGTAACCCTAACCCAAAGGCATATGCTATGATGCTCACACCTCTGATAAGGTTTCACATGTATCAGTACTGATAAATGTTCAGAATTATAATATTTCTGACTGTCTGAGGCAAAATTGAATCGAATCGGGACCTTGTGAATCGGAATCGAATGGCTTGTAGAAATCAGTGATGATACCCAACCCTAGTGAGTAGCCTAGGCCCAACAGAAGTGGATATAGCTGTGGTTAATAAGAAAAGATGAAAAGGACTATTGATAAAGTTTTTGTTAAGGCCTGATCCTTCTGAAATTCATAGCCAGTGCTCTGACATGGAGCCATCAATCGTTGAACGCTGAAAAAGCACAGTGAATCCAGAAAATACATTATATGCTGCAATAAATGCACTGCCCAAGTGTCCCCTCTCTCCACTGACTTTAAGCGGCAGGCAGCAGCAGCAAACAAGTCGTCAGAGGAGGCTGATGTGATGATTAAGTATAACATTGCCTTACAATATTGTCAAAGAGTGCCAACGCACTTTAAGCACAAGCAGTTTTTCAGTAACTTATCTTTCTGGTAGAAATATGCTCCAATTTCGTATTGAAAAGATTGTTAGGTTAATCATTTACAAATTAATAGTGTCTGTATGGACAGCAATTTTCCCCCCTTAAATGTGCACATGTAAAACTGGGCACAAAACGTGTTAAGCGATCGTGCTGAAAGATTTTGGTGTGCCTAACCTTTGTGCTGGTGCGCCTAAGAAAAAAGGTTAGGCACACCAGTGCAACCATGGCAAAAAGTTAGTCTAGAACCCTGACTTATGTAATACAATCTGAAAAGCATCTGATTGGCAATGGATAATGGTAGGTGCTACATTTCTTATCATATTGGCATTAAAGCAATTAACATTAAGATAGACAACAACACTATGGTGAAAGGTACGGGTCTGATCAGTGCTGTATGCCACAAGAAGTATTTGACATTCAGTGAAGCACTGGGATGAGTAGAAATGGCTGTTTTTTCAATTTCTGATAATTAAGGAGTGCAATTCCTTATTTTACATGCTGGGGTTCAATTTCACTGGTAGGTCCATCCAAGTCTGTTTGTCATTGTGATGTTAACCCTTGAATAAATAAGTTCACTGATCCTTGTCAGAAAAGCCTTGCCAACTGATTTGTTTTGCAAAGTAAAACAAAAGAAGATCAGTTTTGCATGTACTTCAAGGACAATGTTGTTTTAGAGTTACATAACAAAGAACATTATGTGTAACATGCATTTAAAAACAGAAGAGTGTTTGTGATACTATGAGTATGAGAGTGTTTGTTTGAAAACGCATTGCTTTCTCTCTGTTCTGTCATCCCATCCCGTCTACACTGAGACATCGTTTTCCCCAAGGAAAAATGCAGTTTTTTGAAAACGCATCATGTGATGCAGTCATGTGACCAATTAAACAAAGATGGCGGAGTGCATTATACAGCAGTTGTTTTGATTGCTCTCAATTCCTAAAAAAGATTAATATCAATTTGTACATGGTCCAGATAGGTTTTCTTCAAATTCTTTAATACTCACTGCCTTTTGCACATGCGCAGGACTGGAACGTAAGAGTTTTTGGCCGGTTCAATGTGGACGCACAACTGTGTGAAAACGACTGAAAATACTAGTGTGGACGTGGAGCGCTTTCAGATGAAAACACAGTTTTCGGGGGCGTTACAGTGTAAATTTGGTTCTTTTAGTTTGAGACTATCTCTCCACACTGTTACATATTCCATATGTACGGGGGTACGGGCCGGTTAGGGGAAATCAAATTTGGGGTTAGGGGGGTTAGGGAGAGGAAAAGTGTTCCGGTCCCTGAAGGGACGTGGAGGTGCACGGTCCTTCCCTTGGGCCCTCCCACTACTCCACTGCCTGTTACGGCCACCAGGCACTAGGCGCTGTCCCTGGTACCGTACAGGGATCCAATCCTGGTCCTCATCCAGGTAGACCATTTTGTGTTGTTGTATTGTGTTGTTTTGTTTTGTCTTGTCTGTGATGAAGCCTTTGTTATCTAATAATAAAGTTTTGTGTGGATGATGCAGCCTTTGGTATTATAGTTTAATAAAATTTGTTTGTTTGTTATTTATGAATGCAGGTATGAATGATAATGTATCTAATTGATAGTGCAAGTGCAAAAAAGAAAAATGAAAAAAATTGAAAAGGTGCTTTTTTTAAAGAAAAAAAAAAAAATTAATTAATTCAAAATAGGCCAAATGGTAGTGTGCCCGGGGCTATTGTGTTGTTAATAATGTTGTGTATTTTTTTAATATGTTTTTTAAATTAGTGTTGGTAACATATCAATATGAGGGTTCCCCATGTGAAAAGTAAAGACCCCTATGGTTGAGGTTAGGGGAAACAAGGTTGAAGCTCGGTCACCGAAGGCGGCCGGGCTTCAATGCACAGGCCTTCCTTAGTCTCCACCCAGGGGTCCACATGGTCCCACTACAGACCTGTAAAAGGGCTCTATTCCTTGTTCACAATTAGGGATATCAGCAGTTTTTTAATTTAATTAAAATAATTTAATTAGAGGAGGAGGGTTCAGCTGTGACGTAGAGATGAGGGGGGAGGGGGAGAGAGAGAGGGAGAGAGAGAGAGTGAGCAAGAGAGAAAGAGAGAGGGGAAAAGGAAGGGAGAGGGAGAAGGAGAGAGGAAAAAGAGAGGGGGGAAGGGGGAGAGAGAGAGAGGGGGAAGGAGGAAGAGAGGGGAAAGGTTAGGTTTAGGGCTCATAATAATAATCGCAGCCTGTTCCTCCTAAAGGCTGCGATTATCCTATGGTCAGTCAAGATTTGGTTTCTTTGAAGAAGATTTTGAAAATGGTTCCTGATCATCCCAACCAATTTGCAAGACGCAGGGGAATATGTCACCACCACTGGGAGAATGGGGGACACATCAATTTGTTTGGTTAGTAGAAATGATTTGAGGCATTTTCTTAAGAAAGAGCGACAGTACCCTCTAGTGGCGAGTGCCGCAAATAGGATTTTAGTGGCTTGCACACAGCAGTGGCTCTGCTGTGTGCAGATTCTGTGAAATCTCAGTAATTGTGACTTGATTAGCCCAGCAAAGGTATGTTTTGGGTGGAAACTGGTTTTAAACAGTAGGGCATGCGTATCAGTGGGTTTAAAAAACACTTTTACATCCAATTTGTGGTCAATTAGAAAATTTGGGCCCTTGAATGTTGTCCTGTCCAGAAAATCAATCTTGGTTTTATGAAATGTGGATTTAAGTTTTATTGAGGCATTATGGCCATTTAGGGTACTCAGGAACCTTTCAAATTCCTGCTCAGAGTGATGCCATATTCCCAGTGTTGGGAAGGTTACTTTTAAAATGTATTCCATTACAGAATACAGATTACATGCCCCAAAATGTATTCTGTAACGTATTCCGTTA